AGTCTTGGAATTTATCTCCTATCTGTAAGGAGTGGGGGAGACTGCTATAGTCCTTAGGAAAGACACTAAGAGATACATTCGATTGCCAATTAAAAAAAAATCAACCTTAAAGAATATAGAATCAGTACCTATCAAGAGAATAAAAAGAGCTGATAGTCAAGCAGTTACTGAATGGAAGGTATTATTCTCATATGCTACATGCATTCTTAAAAATTTAATTGTACCACTTATTTGTTTTACAAAGAATTTGAGGTTTAGAGATGTTAGGTAATTTTTTCCATGGACACTCAGCTAGTAAGCCATGTTTTGACCCCAGATCTGTCTGACAAAGAGGAAGAAGGGCCATAGAATTTATTTAATCTTTTAAACCCTTTTCCCCACAGATTTGTAAACTGAATCTCAGAGAGATGAAGTAGCTTGCTACTCTGTACAACTAATTGTAGTGTTAGTGCTAAAGGGATTAAGAATCTGTTATTGTCTGTTTAGTTTTCTTAGTTGAAGATCTTATGTCTATATACATATATATACACACATATATACTTATATTTTCTACTCCTTTGTATCTCAAATGATTATTAGATTTATTCCCAGTAAAGCACCTGTAATGAATAAGGCAAAAGTTCGTGTAAGTTAGACCATCTTCCATGCTCATTATAACAAACACTGAACTGAAGTGTTTAGACTTCTCTCAGTTTTACACAGACAGGAGATACCAAATACATATTTATTATTTTTAAAAAAAAACTTCACTTCTTATTGAATATAAGTTTGATAGCAACCATTAGTTTCATGTTTATAAATCTGATCATAATTTTAAAACAATAGGATGTTTTGATTTCTCTGGTATTATTATAGGATTAGTTTTTTGTTTTAAAATAAATTTAAAAGAAACTTGGTTTTAGATAAATAAAAAATTAAAATTTGATTCTTTCTTCCCTTCCAGGTTTCACCTTGCTTAAATGTCCTGTCACGATTATTGTTTAGCAGTGACCCAGATGTGTTAGCAGATGTGTGCTGGGCCCTTTCTTATCTCTCTGATGGACCTAATGATAAAATTCAAGCAGTCATAGATTCTGGAGTCTGTCGAAGATTGGTGGAACTTTTGATGTAATTATAATTTATGCTTTAGAATTGTATGATTATATATTAAGAGTAGCAATTGAAATAATGGCCTTATAAACATCTTAAGAGTCACTGTCTTCAGGAAGAATTTAAAAGCTACCAACCCTATACTTTACAAAGTACCAATAGTCCTAAAAAATTGATCCTTAACTCATGTCTTATATCCTGAAATATTTCATAAATGAATTTCTCTTGTTTTATCTGATTTTTTTATGAATGAGTGCTCATGGCTATTAACTTCTGTGGTGGTGCATGATACATTATTAATGAACTAAGAACATAGTTTC